TAAAACAAAGAAAAACTATGATGATGATAATAATAATAATAATAATAATAATAATAATAGGCTACGTATTTTTTTTGTTTAGATAGCCTAAAAAAAATGTTTGGGTGGGATGGCCCTATATGATTTATACTGGTGTAGTCATGATGAAATATTGAGAGTTGTAGATCTTTACCAGCTTTACTTATTAGGGTAAATTGGAGGCGATTATTACGTACGACGTTCTGGAATACGCAACTTAACGGTCAACAATGTGTTGAGTGCTGTTAGGGACAGTTAGCCAAGCCAGCTGTGTCAGTAACTGGGGGCCAGATTCACGAAGCAGCTACGCAAGCATTTACGAACGTGTACATCTTTCCTCAATCTTTGACGGCTTTGATTACATTTATTAAACAGTTTACAAGCATGAAAACTTGCCAATCATCTATTGTTATTGTTATAAACAGCCTCCTGGTGCTTCGGAGCTCATTAACTGCTTAATAATTTTAAACAAGGCCGCCAAAGATGGAGAAAAGATGGACAGGTTCGTAAGTGCTTGCGTAACTGCTTCGTGAATCTGGCCCCAGGTCAAATGGGGCATTTTCACCTAATGTTGCCATGCGAGATCCGGTCAAGTATTTTTCAAATGTAACGTCGTGTCAACCAACTATTATTTTTAAACTGAAATTGACATTTGAGACCCGAACTCTTGTAAGGGTATTGTAAATTGTGGGAAGCTTCAGAGTTAGGACCATTTACAGAGTGCAATTTCCTGGTGTGTTGGTATGTGGGGCAGCGGTTGCCAGGCTCCAGCTCTACATTCCTCTACTGTTTACCTATCGACAACTCCGAATTTACAAACCCAAGTATCTTGTGCAAATATTCCCGCTCCCTCTCGTGTATTGGACCTGTAACAAATGCTCTGCTGCCAACAGGTGTTAAATTGGAATGCGTATTTTTGTTATGCTTTAGACTTTCATGTTGGATGCATCAAAGTGCCAGGTGCCTGGTCCACCGTGGTCCACCTTGGCCCACCCTGGCCCACCCTGGCCCACTGGCCCACCTGGTATTGTTGTGGGGGGAGGTTTTTGTCGCGAGTAACCTACGCTTTCAAAATGATAAAATACTCAGGACAATGAATGTTATTGATGTTGTATTCAGTTTTAAATGTCAACTTTTCTAACTAATATTGTGAAGGTTTTTGTCTTTTAATAACATTCTTTTAGGCTGGAACTTTGTAGGCAATTGTGTGTATTGTATGAATGTGGTCAATGCTGACCATTGTTATGCTATATACGTTTTTTGAAAGCATCTACATTCATATAATATTTAAATATTCCGGCTCATTGTTTTTTTGTATAAACACAATAATTAAAGCAGACAACACGTTAATAAATGTATTGTTATATAGGCTACTGCATATAAATGAAAAATTCGCATGACGGTGAAATGATTCAATGTATGACATAATTTTTTTTTAAAACGATTAATGGCTAAAAAGTAATAGCCTACATATTTTCCTTTGACTCTAAAGCGAAACAAAAATCTCTGTTAGCGTTTCATTGCGTTAAAAAAATATATATATATATACGGAGGTGCATTTGACTGGTGGAAATATTAGAGCGGGGGTCCTGATACCGCTGAAGAGTGCCGGCGACTCTAATGGAAACTGGTGCCAGCGATGTTGTCTCATTAATTAAAACATTAATATTAATGGGGTTTGGCACAGCTTGTTTGTATAAATCTCTGTTTTGCATTCTACATTTATTAATATTATTATCAAGGCGTAGTATATCATTATTACTTATTAGTATGGTGTTATCGCCTGGTGTAGGGATTTGTCGTAGGCTACGAGCAAAGATGGTGAGATTATTTAAGAGATTATATAGATTATTATTTACATTTAAATTTGTAGTGTGGTCCCACCGACAACATTGTTGTGTGAGACTGAAATTTTAGTCTGGCAGTATAAATTTTCGATGTGATGGTGGTATTTGTGGTGCTTTCACAAGTTATACTGAAGTGACTAGAGGCGCCACAAGTTAGGCTACTTCAGTTTTTGGTGAGGAAGATGGACAGATATAGTGTGTGTGTATTCACCTATTTCTGCCTGCAGGTTCTAGCTCTAGCTGTTGGAGCCCGATTTTCTAGCCGCCAGTTGTTTAATGCAGTGTGAGTGTGTGTACTCACCTATTTGTGCTTGCAGGGGATGAGGTTTGGCTCTTTGGTCCCGCCTCTCAGCCGTCAATCAACTGATGTATCAACTGTGTGTGTGTGTGTGTGTGAAAACAAGGCGACAACATTGCACGAAAGAGGGAGGGAATATTGCTAGATGTAATCAGTCTATTATCCCCCTTTATTAATATTTATATGCCTCTCCACCTAACGAAAACGGGGAACAGTGATAGCCTTTGTGATAGTGATGTTGATAGTCTTGGTGATGGTGAGTCTTGGTAGTAGTGATGGTGATAGTCTTGGAGCTACCAATAATTACATTTAGGTACCACTGAAAATCCCATAAATTTTGATCGCGTCTATTACAAATAGGGAAGCAGGTCATCCCGTTGCTCCCTAGAGGCCTAAACCACACTCAAGTGACCCCGAGAACTTCCACAGTTGCATTGAAATCCCCGGAATTCCCACGAAATACACCGGTCAATAGGTAGACGGGCGCTGAGCACAGAGACATGCGGAGGAATATGACCAGAACATGAAATTGTGGTGTGAGGAGAAGGGTGAAGGCAGGGTGTAGAGGGGACGGAGATAAAGAAGGGGTGTAGAGGGGTGGACACACAACATATACAAGGGAAGCGAGGGGCCGCACAGAAAGAATATGTTGGACGGCCATGGAGCAAAAGAGAGAGAGAGAGAGAGAGAGAGAGAGAGAGAGAGAGAGAGAGAGAGAGAGAGAGAGAGAGAGAGAGAGAGAGAGAGAGAGCACAGGGGAGTGAAGTGTGTTGATTGAGAATGTTATGGGGTGCAGTAGTGGGTTGGATGAGGTGGTGTGTTGATAATGGAGTACTGTGGGGTTTTTATTATTATTTTCTACCACATTTACGATGCTAACCAGCATATTTACATATTGTTCTGTCCCCCTTGGGCAGTAGTGTGGTGTGGATGTGAGATGACGGTGTGTGTGTTGTGGTGGCGTGTGGTAGTTATGTCTTTTGAAATAATCCTGCAACACCTGGCCTGCCCACACCTGCAAAACATGTTTTAGAGTGCAGAATAATTTTAGATTTAGAATATTTTCCACACCTGACTCGCGTGACACTTGCCTCTTGAATTAAACTTTCTGTGCCTTTAAGCTAATCCCGGCCCTCTGCTGATTGGGTTGTGCAGATTATCTGTGATAATGCAGCCAACATAACTTGGTCACGTGATGCTCTTATCTAATTGGTTAATATAATAGCTTGATACAAGTGTACTGGTGATACAGCTTCTAGAAAGCTTGAGGAGCCGCCGTTCTTGTTTATATAACATTGACGAAAATAACAACCATAACCAATTTGTAACCCACTTTACAGTCTCCGTGGTGTAGTGGTAAGACACTCGCCTGGCGTTCCGCGAGCGCTATGTCATGGGTTCGTATCCTGGCCGGGGAGGATTTACTGGGCGCAATTCCTTAACTGTAGCCTCTGTTTAACGCAACAGTAAAATGTGTACTTGGATGAAAAAACGATTCTTCGCGGCAGGGGATCGTATTCCAGGGACCATAGGATTAAGGACTTGCCCGAAACGCTACGCGTACTAGTGGCTGTACAAGAATGTAACAACTCTTGTATATATCTCAAAAAAAAAAAAAATTAACATCGAAGACCCGAAAACATGCTGATGCTCATCTAAAATAACATATTGATGTATGTCTGAGACTTGATGTAAGACTTACAGATTTATGACAATGAGAAGGCGTTGTAATATGTATTTGTATGTGGTGTTGGGCAACATGGTGTGGATATGTAGGGGGGGGGGGGGGGCTTTCACTTCCTCTCGCTTGCCCGTACTGGTCAGTAAGTCTTCTGATGGTTTAGTCCCGCGGCCCCCAAGTTGCTGCTGGGTGAAGAGGGGGCAAGTATAGTTATGGATTGGTTCCCAGTCAGTCCTCCCCGGGGTTTAGTTACTGACCGGGTGTTTGTGTGTCATGGGTGTGTGTGTGTGGCGGTGGCATGAGGTGAAGGGGAACACTGACACAGTGTTTCTGCCGCGTCCATGATTCGAACCTGGGACTTAACGTGTGAAGTCGAAGTGGTTCACCACTTCACCATGGAGACCTCTTTATGTTCCTAACCTCGACAACTCCCTCTCCTCTACCACCTCCAATAACCTTCCAATCACTTCAACTTTCGGACTTTGTGGTCTGCTACCATTTGTCGCCATCATCTCGCTTCACAACCCCGCTCTTCTCTGCCTAACGGCACATGTTCCCTACCTTCAAAGTATGGCAGGACCTCGACCCCCGTGGGTAGGTCTTAGCACCCACGGCAGCCTCACTTCTCCCTCACCTACTTGTTGTGTGACTCGTGTCTGTTAGGTACTCTCACATATTTCAGTCCTCTAACTATAACTTTATATTCATGACTGTTAGTGTTGTACATATATAGTTTACACAAATTTACAGTAAATTATTTACCTAAGTGAAAGTCAAAATAATAATGTACCATGAGATAATTGTAGTATAAACTGTATACTCAAGAATTAGGTTTATATTTAGAAGTCACATTTATCAATGATTTTAAAGTAATTAGTTATCATATTCAGAGTAAGAAACTATTTCCGAAATAACTTACGTAAGTCATTACAATAATGGCTGGATTAAAGAGGCGTTCATCAGTCTAAATCAAACTTCACATTTTGCCATAAAGTAAGTAACATTTAGCTTACAATTTCAAAGGTGATATACGTTGAAATCAATCATAGTTTACCATCAGAGCAGCGAGACAGATGTTGACACTTTACACAAGCAGGACGATGAGAACACAATTTAAAGAAGTAATATAATCATTCGATGAATCGAACCGCCCCAGCAAGGGCAAGAACGACCCCAGTCTCCCGAAGCAGAACTTGGGCCGCACGAGCCCCAGGAGGCGGACTCCGAGCCCCGCACCTACGGGTTCCAGACAGAGATCGTCACAGTGTTCCAGAATTCTGGAACACTCACTATTCTAACGTGACTTGCTTCACAATTTAGGGTTACTTCATAATTATTATCACAATTTCTTATATAATAATAATAGGATGCTTACTACTAATAATAATATATAAATATTAGCAAGTTATTATTAGTAGGAAACATCCTATTAATAGTATTAATAATATTATTATTAATACAATTATTATGTAAGAAATTGTGATAATAATTATGAAGTACAGTAACTTTAAATTGTGAAGGAAGTCAGGTTAGAAGTGTGAGTGTGGCGCCGCAGCTGTGTGTGTGTGTGTGTGTGTGTGTGTGTGTGTGTGCGTGTGCGTGTGCGTGTGCGTGTGCGTGTGCGTGTGTGTGTGTGTGTGTGTGTGTGTGTGTGTGTGTGTGTGTGTGTGTACACCTTCACCTTTATGAGTTGACTGCCTCTTGTTCCCACATCTTCCTCCTGGCGACCTTTTTCCCCTCTCTCATTCCCCCATGACCTTCCTGCTGGGGACTGGGGGGGGGGCTGTTGAGGGGGGAATGGGGGGGGTCTGAGGCAGCAGGAGGGAAGGGGGGGGGGGTAGTAGTTGGGTGTGAATGTCGCGATCTTTGCCGATATTTGGGCTACATTTCGTCGGGTCCGCTCTTGGGAGAGGTTAGGAAATGTCAGCCCGCTGGTGACCCCGGGAGTGTGTGTGTCAGGGGTTACCCGTGGCCGCCGGTTCTACTGTGTCTAATTTTGTACCCAACCTTTTTTGTGAAGTGTCAATTCACCTCGCTCCTCTCTATGCTGATAGCACCTCCCCTCTGAGGTAGGTCTTGTCTCTAGCGTGGCGGAGGCAACGTCCCTCAGGTCCTGGCTGTAGTTCAAGCCTCCTGTAAAGCGAGACCTGTCCTACTTCTTGGTTTTATCTAGTATTATCATTTTTTTTTGTCAGGTGGGGATTCTAGGCCGGAGTGATACACTCGGAGATGGCTCTTGGGCTGTATATGTTGTATAGGTCTAGGCCTGTGCATGTGTACTCAGCTAATTGGGATTGCGGGTGTAGACTTCTGCCTTTTGGTCCCGCCTCTGAACTGTCAATCAATTGGTATACAGGTTCCTGAGCCTATTATATCTGTTACATTTATTTATCTCTAACACACACACACACACACACACACACACACACACACACACACACACACACACACACACACACACACACACACACACACACATCCCCAAGAAGCAGCCTGTAGCTGTCTTAACTCCCAGGTACCTATTTACTGCTAGGTGAACAGGTGAATCAGGGTAAAAGAAACTGCTTATTTGATTCTGCCTCGGCTGACTGCGTGTGTGTGTGTGTGTGTGTGTGTGTGTGTGTGTGTGTGTGTGTGTGTGTGTGCGTGTGCGTGTAGGTAGTTGGGTTGGTGTGGGCGTGCATGTGCTGACTTGCTGTAGACTTGTAGGGACGCCCAGGAAACAAGGTGTATGCTGCCTCACGTCGACCACTAACACAAGGAGCAATTCCCGTGGGTCTTCAAGTGCTTCCTGCTTCAAGTAGAGATTGGCCGCTGCTTGAAGATATGGGTCCGCCTGCTCCACCTGGCTTCGAACCCCTGGAGAGTAAATGTTTACAGAGCGTCGAGGTCGTGCACGCACCGTCGGCACGTCAGGCTAACGTGCGACGTGCCGCGATCCAATCACAGATGGTCTCCCTGGTGCGTAGCGTCACAGGTCCCTCTCCCATTGGTTATTGTAGGTCCTGTGACCTGTGAGGCGTGAGGTAGGTCCTGTGACCTGTGAGGCGTGAGGTAGGTCCTGTGACCTGTGAGGCGTGAGGTAGGTCCTGTGACCTGTGAGGCGTGAGGTAGGTCCTGTGACCTGTGAGGCGTGAGGTAGGTCCTGTGACCTGTGAGGCGTGAGGTAGGTCCTGTGACCTGTGAGGCGTGAGGTAGGTCCTGTGACCTGTGAGGCGTGAGGTAGGTCCTGTGACCTGTGAGGCGTGAGGTAGGTCCTGTGACCTGTGAGGCCTCATTACTCATTCGTACAGAGACGCAGCACTGCAGTCATTACGCATTCCACCAGAGACAAGCACTCTGCCCTCACTACTCATTCCTTCAGAGGCAGGACACTGCTCATTTAGTGTTGCCCTGACAGGTCCTGCCTGGCAGCTTCATGACCAGTATGGCGGGAAACCTTTCTCAGTTCTCCAGCTCATTTATTAACGTGTTGGGCTGGTGGCCGCGGACATGTGGGGGTAGAGGGCTCTAAGGCCGTGTGGGGGCGTGGAGAGAGGGCTCTAGGGCCGTGTGGGGGCGTGGAGAGAGGGCTCTAGGGCCGTGTGGGGGGGGGGAGGGCTCTAGGGCCGTGTGGGGGCGCGCCCGTCGTGTGTAGGCGGAGTGAGCAAAGAGCGCACACATACATGTCTGATACATGTACTATGCGTTTAGTAATACATACACAAGGGAATGTCATTAATCTTCAGGATCAAAATAGCATTTCACTCCCTTTTAAAAAAATCTCGTTTAAAATGTAAATATTATTTTAAAAGCATTACAGTATGCTAAAATTTATCTTATAAGTTTAGCATGTATAATGTGTACCCTGCCCGAGTCACATGTGTGTAGAGAGAGAGAGAGAGAGAGAGAGAGAGAGAGAGAGAGAGAGAGAGAGAGAGAGAGAGAGAGAGAGAGAGGAAATAGACGTGCTAAAAAACATAATAATTAAAAGTAAAGTTGTTATGCCTTGAATATAAAGTTTTGAAAACAACTCTGCAAGCAGTTTCACAATTCAGTAATTTGTGATAGAGTGTAGAGGGACGGTGAATGGCTCGTCAAGCACCCAGGGGTAGTTAACAGAGTGGAAATTGCTGCAGGAACCAGCTTTGAAGTGCTGGTAATTATGACTGTGTGTATGTGCGTTTGTATGTTAATGTTTTGTATGTGCGTACGTGTGTGTATGTGTGTGGGTACGCGTTAATGTGCGTATGTACGTGTACGTGGGCTTACTCTCGTGCGCGTGTGTATGACCTTACTCTTCGAGCTCTATCTCCTGGGCTCCACCAGGAGGAGGGGGGCGTCGCCTGTAGAGCGACGGTCTCGCTTCATGCAGGTCGGCGTTCAATCCCCGACCGTCCAAGTGGTTGGGCATCATTCCTTCCCCCCCCCCCCCCGTCCCATCCCAAATCCTTATCCTGACCCCTTCCCAGTGCTATATAGTCGTAATGGCTTGGCGCTTTCCCCCTGATAAGTTCCTTCCCTTCCTCCTGGGCCCCACCTCTGACTCAGAAATTATCTGGTGATAATATTCCATATCCACTTCTCAAATCTTTGAAGGAGGTTTAGCATCACTTGTTCCGGCTCAAGGGGAGCCGGTCGGCCGAGCGGACAGCACGCTGGACTTGTGATCCTGTGGTCCTGGGTTCGATCCCGGGCGCCGGTGAGAAACAATGGGCAGAGTTTCTTCAATGGGTTTCTTTCACCCTATGCCCCTGTTACCTAGCAGTAAAATAGGTACCTGGGTGTTAGTCAGCTGTCACGGGCTGCTTCCTGGGGGTGGAGGCCTGGTCAAGGACCGGGCCGCGGGGACACTAAAGCCCCGAAATCATCTCAAGATAACCTCAAGAAGAAGATTCCCTTTCCTCCCAGCTCTCGCCACTCTGGCTTCCTAATGAAACAACTCGGGATCCTGTTTTTCATTTGAAATTCCACTTGCCATTTTGTGGTGCCTCGTTATTTGCTCTCCCCTGATGATGTTTTGTCTACGTTGGTCTCCTCCCTCCAGCACATGGACTTGACTGGTCGGTACAACGACGGTCTGGCTTCTTGCTGGGTCGGAGTTCGATCCGTGATGGCCCAAGTAGCCAGACCGGGCATGAATAGCCCGTAAGTCATCGACTTTTTAACTACTATTTAGATATAGAAGAGCAGGGGTGCTGATTGGGATTATATATATGGTCATACTGCTCAATGTTTGTTGCAGGGAGTTCTTCCCTTCCCTTCACCCCCTTCCCTCCTCCCCCCGTCCCTCCACCTCCCTTCCCTCTTCCCCCCTTCCCTCACCCCCCCCCCCTTCCCTCCTCACCAATCTCTACTCAGCTTCCAGAAAGTTTTTCAATAAATTTCGGTGTTTCTGCATATTTTCATATTCATCTGTGGGGGCAATAAAGACGAGAGCCGCGGTGATTGTTCTTGTTGCTGCTACAATCATGTCCCTCTTAAGGCCTTAGGCTTATTATTGTAGGTCAGCAGAGGAATGTGACCATCACGTTCCGCAATTGACAGGAAGAAATACATAAATTATGTGATAATGTCCAAAAAAGCTATTTTCGGGTCGTAAGGTGTTCTGAAGACCGCCGTTTTGACTAAGACATAGATAAGAGATTGTAGAGATGAGAGAAAGTGAGGTTAAAAAAGAAAATGAGAAGCTAGAAGAGGGTCATTGTCGAGAGGTGAGGAATTGGTGTAGCCAGGCGAGGTAGAGACGGTCCCTGTGTTGCCTGTAGAGGCGACCCTGCCTGGTGAGGGGGTAACCCTCTCTCTCCATATCTAGCCTCTCTGCTCGCCGCTCCTCCTGCCTCGCCCCCTCCTGCCGCGTGCTGTCGATCATGCCCATGACGTGCTCGTAGGTGAAGTTGAAGAGGACGATGTAGAGGACGAGGACGCACACGTCGCAGAAGATGGGTCCCCACAACCTGTCGCACTGCTCGATCTCCTCGTAGTCGAGGTCGCCCGTCAGCTGGAAGAAGACGAGGAAGGTGTAGGCGAGCGTCTTCTCGCAGAAGGCGGCCCAGCACTTGCTGAACATGACGTGGCCGACGATGGCCAGCGCCAGGTTGGTCAGGAAGTAGAATATGAGGAAGGGGACGACGTGGCGGCCGACGCGTCGCACCCCGACGATGAGCAGCGTGGCGTAGCTGGAGTAGTAGTAGTCGTAGAGGCAGAAGTGGACGAGGGTGACGATGATCACCCCGACGGAGGCCTCGCGGGCGTGGCCGTCTTCCCGCACCAGCTTGGCGAAGGGCAGGTGGTGGTGCTGCGCGCGCAGGTACTCCGCGCGGG